GCCCTCAACCTATTTATTTGTTTGGTTTTGTTTTAATTCCACGAGCAAAAAGAAGTGACGTAAGTTTGTAGCAAGTGTATGTGTGTATAGAAAAGTTTTTTTAAAAAAATATTGTTTGTGGATGCAGTGCAATACTTAATTCTGTTTAGTTCCCAAATTAATACTTATTCCCCCCTTCCCACAAAATTATCTTAGTAATAAAAATAAATTGCTTAGTCACCTGGGAAATTATGCTCCTGTTAGATACCCCAAATCAGTAACCAAACTCAGTGGAATTCTTGTCATAATATGCAAGATATAAAGGCAGAGGCTATTTTAGGTACTGAATAGTATCATAAATTTTAAAACACTATGTGTAAAGCTAAAAGGAAAAAAAATTATATTTTATTCTCTCTAGAAAATACTGATGGAGTAAATAAGGAATACTTTTTGATTTCATAAGTTTCGGAGGGTCTTAAAGTAGAAGTGTCTTAAACCTTTCCATTTTGAAATTATCTAGTGTTCATCTTGAAAAACTAACAACTTTTTAAAAACCATTTTTGTCTTAAACGAAAACGGGTGCCTAATTTCTGTTGAATAATTAAAGTCAGCTATGTTTTCACACAATAAATACTTTACATTTTACAATTAAAAATTTTTTTTCAAGGCTGTAGTTAAGATTAGGTGTGTGTATGGAGGGTGGAGGTGGGTTGTTTAGAAAACAAAGATTCAGAGTAAACCGTAGGCTGATCACCTTAAGTTTCCTTATCTTTCTTTCCTAACCTCTCCCCTACAGAACTTCTTCTTTTGGTGCCTTTCCCAAATTCCAATGAATGCCTAGTGTCCTCATGCTTTCCTTTAGTTGTTTTGGACCCCAACTTTGGCGAGAGAGATCATGTCCAATGCTTCTGACTTTTTTCACCTCCTCTAAATTCTCTACCTCCTCCCATGCCCTATTCCATCAGGGTCTGACTTGGGTTAGACCATCACAGATGGTCATGGGTTATTGATGAGAACTGAATTCTTGCTGGATTGTTAGCTGGCAAGGTGACCTGGACTTGTGGGGAAATTACAGAGTAGACATAATAGTCCCTGAGCAAACTGTTCACCTAAGCATTCATTTAAAACCAATAAACACTTATCAAATATCTATTATGTTACATGCAGTGTGGTAGGCTCCAGAGTACAAGAGTGAATAACAGATGGTCTCCATTTTCCAAGCACTGAACTGTTCTGGGTGTATTAGGGGGAAAGAAATCCAGGACTGGCACCTCAATTCAACTAGAGTATTCTTCTGTGTTACATGTTGCTCTTCTAAATAAATGTTTGGGATTTGAACAAATATAAAAGCACTGGTCTATTACATTGGTTCTCAACACTGGCTGCTCATTAGAGTCACCTGGGGAACCTTTCAAACAGTGTTTCTCAAGCTTCAGTGTGCATCAGAATCACTGGAAAGTCTTGTAAAATCAGCTAGAAAGGCCTCAGCCATAGGGTGTAGGAATCAGTTAATCTGGAATGAAGTCAAATCTGCATTTCTATGAAGTTTTTAGGTGATGTTGCTGGCTGCTGGATCCCAAGGCTCTCCTTTGAAAATCACTGTTTTAAATGATAAGGACTTCCAGGTTTCATCCACAGATTCAATCGATGTGGGGATGGGATCTTGGCACTGGTCATTTTACACCCCCACCCCCACTCTAATGTGTATTTCTGAGTAGGAACAAACTTTCCTCTACCCTTCCAAGTTCTTCTGGCTGGTCTAATAATCAAATGGACAAGAGAGATTTATAAGAGAGAAATAATCAAATGTAATTACATACGTACCTTTGGGAACCCCACATTCATAAGAGGTTCAGAGACAGAAAGGGAAAATGACATGAGGATGACATCAGGCCCTTGAGATTTCAGAGAGGAGGAAGGTCATTTGCAGGAAGATAAGAAGAGCAGATATTTAGTAATTAAATAGATGTTTGCCCCGCTCTATAGATAAGATATAAAACCTTATTTCTTGTAATAACTCTTACTTTTTGCAAGGCCCCCAATTTAGATTATTTAAGGGAGAGGTAAAAGTTTCTCCATGAGCCCCCCTAGGGTCTCTATTGCCTCAGCTCAAAATAATCGACATGCCCAGATGGCACATTTTGGTGAGGCCTGTTCTAAACCCCTTCAGTCGCCAAGGTTGACAACCACTGTTCCACCAGCTACACTATGCATTGGATAGACTGGTTTCCTGAAGCTACAATTTGGGATAAAATGAACCTACACATTCCTCAGGGTCAATTTGAATAATTCTGTGGTATTTAAAGAAATCAATCTGTAAGAAGACTGGAAAAATCCACCACTGCGATTTTGGTTCAAAGAAATTTGGCTGCCTTCCTTTGGAAGAAGGCCTTTCCAAACCTCCTCTGGATATTTTCCAACACCAGGGTAGAAAGGATACTTGTGAAACGCCAGAGGTCTTCGGAGGAAAGGTTTTAAAGAAACGGGGTCCATTTGAACCCCATCTGCACCTTCCTTGGGTCCACCCGGTCTGGCCTAACACTTGTAGTTCCAAGGGAGCTGGGCATGCTCAGTGGGCAGGGTCGGTTTTGGGGGGTGCAACTGGGAAGCCTGCTGCTCTACTGCGGGGCTCTCCGCCACCCCCAACCTGTTCGAGGCTCGGCCGGAGGAGCCGGTGCTCAGCATCCTACCCCCTGGTGCTGGGCTTGGAACCCCGCGGGCCCCCGCGCTGACATTTGGGCGGGTCGGGAGGCCAGGCGCGCCTCCAGGGCGCGGGGGAGGGGGTGGAGGAGCCTGGCCGGGGCCCGGGATCTGACGCCGGGCCCCAGGGGTTCGCCCGCTCCCACACGCGTTTCCAGGCCCAGGGCGGCCTGGCCTCAGAGCGGGGAAGCCAGATTCGTGGGCGGGTGACAGGAAACCAGGTAAGCCAGCCCGCCGGGTGCAGGCGGGAGAGTCTCCTCTCCGGGCAGATGGCGAGGGCGGCTCGCATGGCGGAGGACGGCGCAACCGGACACCTCCACCATCTTTCCCCGGCCTCGCCTCGCCCAGGCTTCCCTGCCGGGCAGCCGCCTGGCAAGGCGGGGCGGAGGGTCTGGAGTGGGGCAGGAGCCGCCGCCTGCCGCGCCGGGACCCCACCCGGCGGGCCTCGTGTCCCCGTGTCCCCGCGCGGTCACGTTCATTGGGCGGCGGAGGCCTCGCCAGCTCGCCGCCCGGCTCCCCTCCCCGCGCCCGGGCTCCCGCCTCACTTCCGCGTTCCCTGCTGGGCCCGAGGGCCGGGGCCGAGGGGCTGGGCCGCAGCTCGCGGCGGGCGGTGGCGGCCGCGCCACCGGGCCACCCCGGGGCAGGAGGAGGAGCGGGAGCGGGAGGAGGAAGTGGCCGGCGGGAGGGGGCGCGGCGCGGGCGCGTCGGGTTACACTGGCTCAACCTGCCCCACAGTGACATCCCCGCGCGCCGGCCGCGGCTCTGATTCCGAGGGACAGCGACTCCGCCCCGGCCGCAGGAACCAGGTGCTCCTGCCCTGTCCCCTCGCGCCACAGGACTGGTCTCAGGTGTGTGCTTCCCGGGAGACCCCGGCCCCTCGCCCCCGGGTTGCAGAGGTCCCTTTCGACCCCGGCCCGCCCGCTCATGACTCCAGTGTTGGGGTGGCTGGTGGCGGGAATCTGGGGAAAGATTTATCATTTCTCCCCAACAACAGAAGGTGGACCCATTCTTATCTAGGGCTTCACTGTGTACACTTGGGGGTGAGGTGAGAGGGGGTGTAGTAATCCATTCGCCTCCTTAGTTAAGTGGCACGACTTTGGGGGGAGAGTTGGTATCTAACTGAAAGTTTTCTGCAAACTTTTGGCTTGTGGATGTCGCTCCTCTGGTAAGGATTGTTGCTCCTTTCTGAAGCAAGGCAGGGAAAGATTCTGGAAGGGCGCTGAGGCTTCTTTGAGGACCTTAGCTTCTGGAGGTTGTTCTGGGAGGAAGTGGACGAGGTACACAGATGAACTCAAAACAGCCTCCACTCCCCAAGGAATAACTCCTACCGAGCAAAAAGATTTGCAAAGAATGCTTGGCCGGAAGGTGTAGCCTATGAATGAAGCCCTGCTCTTAGCAGCTGGTCTCTAGACTGCCTTCCACCTTATGAAGAGGACCGTTCGCTCTCGAACAGCCCTCCGTAGGAGTTGCAAAGTAATTTACAAACACAAACTCTCATAAAGTCTTCGTGGCACGAGCTAACCCAAATTACACAACACATTATAAATATCATGAGAGGCAGCTATAGAAATAGCTAACAGCTAATTTAGCCAACTTACCCTTGTATAACTGGGTGAGGGAAAGAAGGGTAAGTTTCATCTAAAACAAAGCTGTTAGAATTTTGCATGTGTTCCAAGTTTAAGAGATGTGAAGTTTCTTTTTGGAGTGTGGAGAGTAATGGCAACTGCCCAATTGGGGCCAAACACTTCCTGATAGCTACTGAGCAGTGCAGTCTGAGTCCTACAGTTTTGGCTGGCCATCTGATGAGAGCTGGATGCCATTGCCCAATGTATACCATGTGTAGTCTGGGACACCTTATGATGTTTTTCTCATTGGGGCATATGTCAAGTTATAACACTTCCTTGATTTTACAAATCAACTCTTCAAATAATGCCCCAGTTCCTTACTGAATTATGACTAAAATGTGGAATTTTGGGTTTGAGAGCCAATACTGATAGACCTGTCCACTCTGGTATTTCACATAGTCACTTGATTTTATGAAAAAATTCTGAGCAGCATTAAAGCTGGGCTTCCTTTTCTCTCCCTCTGATTTATTAATAGATGCAGTGGCCTGGCTCAGTAATTGATAGTAGGGCCACAATGCTACCAGTCATCAGTGGACTTTGCACCCTGCCTATCCATTTAGTTTTTGCAACCATTTAATCTCATTACGGATATTTAAAAAATTTGACCCTTATAGTACATAAGTCATATCCGTAAACTATTATAAGTTTGAAATTATCCTGTTTGGTTGTTTTCTTTCTTTCATCACTAGCATGTTAGTTCTGTGAGAGGACTTGGTCAGCCTCATACACTTGTATTTCTAATGCCTAGAGTGGTGACCAGCATGTAATAAGCGCTCAGTAAATGTTTCCACAGTGAGTGACTAAACTGTGGGACAAACTCTAGCTGAGTGTAGTGGGGGGAAGAAAAACCAAAGACTTTGACCTTAGGTAACCTATTCACACTCACTGAACCTCAGTTATCTCCTTGGCAAAAGATGGATAATAATATATAAGATAATACATGTAAAGCTGCTAGTGACGGAACTGTCAGGTAGTAAACTTAAAAATATTGGCTTCCTTCCTTATATTTTTTCTTTTTACATTCATAAAGGGAAGATTTAGGCAAGGAATATAGTTAGCTAGATAATTTAGTTCTTGCATATTGTGCATAAATTATCCAGGCTTTCTCCTCTTTAATTTGGTGTGAATGCCTGGGTCATGGAGAAGGTGGTTAGTGCCAGGTATGGTTGTTAGAAAAGGGAAGTAATATCCAGGTCACTATCTAATGTCTGCCTTTTTTTCTTTTTAATGGGATGATGTTTCTGCTTCGGTTTTACAAAACTTGCTTCTTTCTGCTTATCAACACCCAGACTCACTAGGTTGTCCTAAGTGCAGAAGTAACACTTCAGAAAGAGCATTAGAAATCAAAGGTATGTAGCACTTGGCTTTATGTAGCACTTGCAGTTTTCTGTGGGCTTGTGCAGGATTATTTAGTAACTGTGCTAGGAAAAGAAAAAACATGGTTATCCTGCTTTTGAGAAGTTGGAGTTTAACAAGATAAAACGTTTAGATGTAAAGCAATTAGAGACCAATAAAAGATCTTGCATAATCATTTTCCCAGTGGTAGAGTGTCAGCATATAACTCTTGTGGTTATGGAAGGGAGATGTTAACACGGGAGCAAGTGCTGGAGACAACTTTGCGGTGAAGAGAATGTCACTTTAGCAATAGAGAAACTTAAAGTTTCCTGAAGATTACAGCAAAAGAAGATCATCTTTGTTTCAAGAACGTTTGCTGTTGTGTACTTCAGTGTATTAAAAAGCCAGCACAGTCATATACTTTCAAAAATGAACTATCTGTGGAAAAGTATATTAGAAACCTATAGTAAAATTCTGTATGTGCACTAAATAATACTTTTCACTATGTCTCTTGAGTTTTTTCTCCTAACTTTTTCTTTATTGATTTTAGAAAGAGAGAAAGGAGAAGGAGAGAAATAGAAACATTGATTGGCTGCCTCCTGCATGCCCCCCACTGGGGATCAGGCCCACAACCTGGACATATGCCCTGACTGGGAATCAAACCAGTGACCTCCTGGTGCATGGGTTGATGCCCAACCCCTGAGCCACACCAGCCAGGCTGTCTCTGAAGTTTTAAAGCTCAGGAATAGAATTGCCACTTTTAACACACTTGCGTTAGATGGCCTGTTATTTAGTCCAATTGAGTACAATGGGCAGTAGTTTTCATCTGAAGTTTCAGAAGAAAATTACTAGTCATTAGGTTTGTCACCTCCACAACTGGCTAATTTCAGGATTGTTATTTTGGGAGATAGGGAAAGACTGATCGAAACCAAGAAGGTATTATCAAGGTGGTTTCCCATGTTCATTAAAATACTTAGATAATTCCATCAGGACTCATCACCTTTGAGATAAGAAGAAAACTTGAAAGATGTGCCATATAGGAAGAAGAATGTAATAAAGGGCGTGTTGTATATTTCTTTATTTAGAATTGATGACATGACGGGGGAAAGAAATGTAGAAGAGAGAGATGATCGGATTCATCTCAGGAACATTTAAGGAAAAAGAAACTCAGGGAGCTGATGGTTTAAATACCTGAGGATGTTTAGATAATGTTTGTGGTCAGAATCTGTCCAGAACTCAAATTTTGTGTCCTGACATGAATCATGTGACCGTGATTTTTTTCTTGTATTCCAGGATTTTTATTTTTTGTTGGTTCCTCGGTTTAAATATTTCTTTCTATATCATGTCTGTGCTTGTGTTTCCCATTTTTCAGTTGAAAATTTTATGTTGGTTCTTTCAAAATCAGAGTTCTGACTTATGCAACAGACAAAACATGGTTTCTGAATTTAATTAGGTCAACCTTTGGTCCTATTAGTTTACTAAAATTAGTTAATAAAAAATGTTTCCCTCCTAACTAAATATTTGTTGTGAGATATGTCTTAACAAAACTTTAGAACATTATTTGGGGATGCCTTAGATTTTTTTTAAGCTTCATATTTTTGTTATTTTATTTTTATTTATTTATTTTTGAAATTTTTATTAATTTATTTTTGTTACAGATGTTTCTCCTTTTTCCTCACTAGACACCCTCCTCCCCATCTTGCCACCCCTCCCTCCAGCATTGTTGTCTATGTCCACTGGTTATGCCTACGTGCATATAAGTTCTTTGGTTTGTCTCACCTCTGCCCCTACCCCCTCCTCTGAGCTTTGTCAGTCTGAACCGTACTCCGTTCTATGTCTCTGGTTCTATTTTGTTCATCAGCTGTTTTGTTCATTATATTACACAAATAAGTGTGGTATTTGTCTTTCTCTGACTGGCTTATTTCGCTTAGCATAATGCTCTCCAGGTACCTCCATGTCATCTCAAAGGATAAGAGATCTTTCTTTCTTAGAGCTGCATAGTATTCCATTGTGTAAATGTGCCACGGTTTTTTTTTATCCACTCATCTATTGATGGACACTTGGGCTGTTTTCAGATCTTAGCAGTTGTAAATAGTGCTGCTATGAACATAGGGGTGCAGATATTCTTTCTGATTGGTGTTTCAGGCAAGCCTCATATTTTTAAAATAGTGATGTGTCCTCTGGTGGAATCTCATATTTGATTACCTACCTATATTCTTCTGTAAAATAATTTTTTAAAATATTGATTTTAGAAAGAGAGGAAGGGAGAGGTAGAGAGAGATAGAAATATCAATGAGCGAGAACATCGATTGGCCACCTCCTGCATGCCCCCCACTGGGGATCAGGCCCACAATCTGGGCATGTGCCCTGACCAAGAATCGAACCAGTGACCTCTTGGTGCATGGGTGGACCAATCCACTGAGCCACAGCAGGTGGACCTTCTGTAAAATATTTTAATATAGAGGAGGAAACAAACCCCATAAATGAACAGAGTGGCTACTTCCTGAAAAGGAGATTTCTAGAAGCTGCCTCTGTCAAACAAGATGGCCTCTAAGTATGACTTGTTGACAAAAGCTAAGAAAGCTTTGTTACTTACCTTATATCCATCAGTGACCACTATGGCCAGTTGGTTATACAGAATAGGAACAAAAGTATATGTTCATGGTAAACATTTTAGAAAAATTTTGGTTAAGATTCTATGCCATTATTATTTCACTGAAATATAATAAACTTCTAAATGTATTTGAAAAGTGGTAAAAATAATGTAGCTCAGAGTACTAGATTTTCAGAAGTCATTTTCCTTATTTAAATGGAATAAAGAAAGGATGTTTTGTTTCATTGTGCTAATGTCAAAACTTCTTTGATCATATCACTCTCTGTTCCACGTTTCTGTGGCTCACTCTGCCCTATTGGATCAGGTTCTAAATATTTGTCTTGGAATTATGGACTTTTCTAATCTTTTTCCCCCCTTCATTTTATTTTATTTTTTTCCATCACCCCTATACCTTCTTCCACCTCCACCCCCCTCCACCCCCCTCCACCCCTCCCCAAATTCACTACACTGTTGTTTGGTCCATGAGGTTTTTCTCTATTTTTTTTTTCTCTGCTCAATCCCTCCACCTCAGTTTCTTGCCCTATAATACCTGTGGTTCAGCCCAATTGGACTACTTGGGATTCCCTTAATCTGTCTTGTTCTCACTGCTGGCCCTGTGCTAATGCTCTTCCTCCCATGTCACCCTTCTGAAATCCTACCAATCTCTGAGTCCCCGAGTGTCTAACCGTGGCTGCCAGTTTCATGGTGCTTTTCCTTACAGCCCATCAGAAGTGTTACATACATTTTCGTTTTTCGTCTTAAATTCTGTTAAAAAAAAAAAGTAAGTATAGTTGGCATATTAGTTTCAGGTGTGCAATGTAGTGATTTGACACACATATACCTTACAATGTGATCACCACACTGTCTTGTCATCGTCTGTCACCGTGCAGTTATCACAGTGTTATTGACTGTGTTCCCTCCCCTTTACTTTTTCTACCTATCCTCCCACCCCTCCAACCTCCCCTCCACCACCACCTCCACCGCAGCCACCATCAGATTGTTCTCTGTTTTTATGAGTCTGTTTTTTAGATTTTACATATAAGTGAAATCATATAGTATTTGTTTTTCTCTGTCTGACTTCTTTCACTTAGCGTAATACTCTCTCTGTCCATCCATGTTGTCACAAATGGCAAGATTTTATTCTTTTTTTATGGCTGAATAATATTCCATTGTAAATATATACCACATTTTTATCCATTTATCTATCAGTGGACACTTAGGTTGCTTCCATATCTTGGCTATTGTAAATAATGCTGCAGTGAATATGCACATTTTCTAAACCCTTCAACTACTCTTTCATGGCCACTCACAGTCATTTATTCCTATGTGTAATAATTAAACGTGCAGTATTTCCTCTCCTGCAGAAGATCCTGCATAATAAAGGGATCTTACACAATTTTGTAGACCTCACATGCCCAAACCATGTGCCTTGCTTGTGCAGGATACCTAGTAAATAGTTGTTGAATAAATGATTGCCTCATAATCCACTCATCACTTAATTACTCAAGAAATAAGTGATAGAAATGTGTTGAGTGTGATTAGACAGCAGATAACACACAAGCAGGAGCATCTTAGATAATCAGTTAAACTAATGGATACTTTATCTTTTTGAGGCCTCCTCTTTCTCCCTACACATTTGGCATTTTTAATATATAAAGGATATTTAGGAGGAGGAACGGAAAACTGCATTGGAACCAAAGTTATGAAAGCAATTCCTGAAAATTGGTGGAGGGCTATACAAATGATGAGGTCATTTACTAACCACTGAGGGCTCAGCCATCTCTGTCCGAGCTCTTAGGACTCCTTCTCTTCACGCATGTCTCCCTTCTCTCTCACCTGCCCACTTAATCCAGTCTCTTCAGAAAAAATCCTGAACATTAATTTATAACAAGATGATTGATAAAATTAACTTGTCGCCCTGGCCAGTTTGGCTCAGCGGTTAGAGCGTCGGCCTGCGGTCCGGAGAGACCCGGGTTTGGTTCCGGCTAAGGGCACGTACTTTGGTTGCAGTTTGTCCCCGGCCCTGGTTGGTCGTGCGGGTGGCAACCACTCGATGTGTCCCTTCACGTCGATGTTTCTCTCTCTCTCTCCCTTCCTCTCTCTCCCTCCCACTCTATCTGTACAAAAAATGGAAAAATATCCTCGGGTGAGGATAAAAATAAAAAAAAAATTGTCACCTCCTCAATGGTTTCTGGATTCTAAGGGGACAAAACCCTGGGCACAATTTGTGTAGGATAGGTGGAAGGAGCTTTGGGGGAGCAGTGTTTACTTCTGTTCATCCCTAAAGTCTCATTATAGCCACTTGAGTGTGGCTTTGGTCAGACTCTGACATTTTCAGTTTCTTCCTCTGTAAAATGAGGTGGAAGGACTGTATGGAATTTAAAGCCCATAAAAAAGTAGGGAGTGTTTTATTACTCTTGT